GGATACAGCCATGTGCAGTAAACTCTAAATGTCACTGTTACAGTTTGCTGTTCATTGATCACTTTGCTTTACTGGCTTTCAGTCATCAAATCTCCTCTAGTGCTGCTGAAGCTGCCTACAGGTTGTTTATGCATTTTGACTTCAGAATATTGGAGTTTTTCAGACTTTGAAACAAAACCAGAAATATTCAAAGTCTGGAGTTAAACTGACACACAGAGTGGCGTGTCCCTGTAAAAAAAATCAAAAACATTTTCAGCTAAAGGCGTTTCAATTCCAGAGTAATCCGTTACTGATGCTCATGATTGTGAATGTGTCCTCAAACGGATCTCTGGGCGTTTCCTTCCCAGTGTTGCCAACTTAGCGACTTCGTCGCTATATTTAGCGAGTTTTCAGACCGCCTTAGCGACTTTTTTTCTGAAAAGCGACTAGCGACAAATCTGGCGACTTTTTCTGGCTATTGGAGACTTATTTAAGACGAGTATTTGACGTGAAAGCGCGTATCGCTCTTACTCTCAACAAGCAGCGGGCGCTGCGGTTGGCACCTCGCCCGTGCCAAAGCGCTCACAGGCGGAGGATAGTCCTCCCCCAGCTGCGATCAGGGAAGGAAATGTTCACATCTTATGCAAATCAGGCGATTACGTCATTTGTCGGCGTCTAGCGACTTTTAGGACAGCCAATAGCGATTTTCCTTACTGAGGAGTTGGCAACACTGTTCCTTTCCCGCTGAAAGTTTCCTTTTACTTTGCCGAACATGGCGTTCGTGACTTATGCTGATCGTCTCTGTGTAAAGCTCCATGTTAAGGTAAGTAGAGCATTGTTTAATGTTTTTTCTGGCTAAAATCAGCTTAGTTCAGCATGAGTTCTTCCACTGTGGTGCAGCAGCTGAGTTAGTTGATGGTCAGCAGCTTTTTCTGTCTCTATCAGTCTGTGGAGGGGGCGGGGAGGATCCTATGGAATGATATTTATGTCATAACAAATGCACGAGTAAAAAAATAATCCGAGCAAATACATTTTGTTTGAGTGTAGAACTCAGCAGCCACACACACAAAGAAGCACTCACGCATTCCCGAGTGTTTCACGCTCTAGCAGGTAGCTCTGCGTCCTGTACATTAGACTAATGGCACAGCAGTGCAGAGACTTCAGAATTT